GTATACGTGCTTTTTCTGTTGTTGGTCCAAAACTATGGAATAGTCTTCCTGTATCTTTAAGATTAATAGCCACTGAGTCTGTTTTCAAATCTAAGTTAAAAACCTACCTGTTTTCACTGGCCTACAAGTGTCCTTGATTTAATGTTGAATGGTCAAATTGGTGGTTTCGATGTAAACACCCCCCCCCCCTCTTTCTCATTAGTTTTGCGGTCAGTCTTGTTTTTTTTTTTGTTTTTTTTTACGATATTTTATTTCTTCTGTACAGCACAATGTTCAACTACTGTTGTTTTTATTGTGCTTTATAAATAAAAGTTGATTGATATATATATATATATATATATATATATATATACACACACAGTATATAAAATATTTTAGTTCTTTGAATTGAAAATTTGAAATACTGCTAAGGTGTTTACCAGTGTTGCTTTAAGGAGAAGTCAAGTTTTATTAGTGGTTTGAAATGTATGGTTAGGAAGAAGAAATAAGCTCCTAAGTGTATATTTAGGTCCCTAGATGTGGCTCTTATAAAGTCTGCTGAAGTTCATCCCCATTTTATTGTTCGTAAAAAAACAAAACACAAAAAAACCTGCATAGTTAGATTTAAATAGCACAACTGATATTGGATGAGTTAAGAAACAAAATTGAATAGTGTTAGAGGTTTGTTAAAATCCTTTAACAATGGCGTTTAGGTGGAAGTTTGTGGATCTCATGACAAGAGACATTCAGCGTGGTTGTCTGTATTTGTTTGTGGCTGTGTGATGAGATGAGATAAGGGACTGTCTGTGTTTGTGTTATTGTGTGTGTGTTGTCTTGTCAAGTGTGTCTCAGAGGTTATATAGCTGCATTTCAGGTCACCAGAAGGCCAGTCTGTAACAACTGATGTTTCTTGAACCCTTCTCCTCTCACAGCTGCTAATCTGTCTTACCGAGTAACATGTTTCCCTCCGTCTTTCCCTGAAGCTTTCAGAACCAGTTATCAATCTCAAACCCTCCCTCACTGGCTAAAGCATGTACACCTCCTGTCCTGACAGTTATCTCCTTCTCTCTGTCAGTCATCTGAGCCATCTTTAGTGTCAGGGTTGATTGGAGATCCCCACAGGATGGATGTGAGAGCCATCATTCACTTAAATCTGCAGTTCTCCCTCCTTGTCCTGCATCTCTGATCTGTACTCCTCATCCAGGGTTACCATAGCAACCCCCACCCCCACCACCCATCCACACCCTTTTCTCTTAGCACTCATCTCGATCTCTGGGGACCAGGCTGCTGTTTTTCTAGAGGCCCTCAAGGGACCGCCGGGACTGCCGTCATGATGTTGCGAAACGGGCCGGCTAATTATGCAGAAGAGTGTCGGACACACAGGAGTTTTCTGTGACAATAACAATAACATAATTGTGACTTATTTATATATATATATATATATTGTGATGTAGAGACCTTGGAGTTGTCTTCCATCACCGTTTTTATTTTGTCCTCACTGTTCCTAATAATTTTTTAATAGTTACATGGGATTTTATTTTACCCTGAGTGGGTGTGGCCTTAAAGAGAGCGAGAATTGTAGGGGAGCATTTTCACTATTATGGAAATGTTTGGAATCCATCCTAGTTATTTAATTTAACAATTTGTTTTAACTCTTGTTGTAAATAATCTTGTGTATTTATCTATAAACATGGTGAGGCAAGAGTTAAACTTTTTTTTTTTAAATGGTACACTCCAATTAGTAAGCAGGAAAATGTGTATCGGTAGTTAAGGCAGCCGTCACTAGTGGATTGGAGGATGGACCATGATTTTTGAGGGAATTTGAACAAGGTTATTGTAGTGCTGCTTGAACGTATTGAAACTCTGGCTGTGTCTGAAATCGCATACCCTCTTGACTAGGTACCTATTTTGAATAAGTAATTACTTCATGACCGCTAATTATAGTATGTTAAGTTATAGTATGAATGTAATCTGGGCGTACTACATTCGCCATGTTGTCATTATCATGGGACAGATTCAGATACGTCGCTTCACTGCCATTCATAAATCCTCTCCCGTGGCCTCATGGGATAGTAAAGTGTCCATCGTCTGAATCTTCAGAATTTTGCTGGAAGTAGCAGGTTATGTTTTATGAATTTTAGTGTCACATTCTTTACATTTCTGTATATATATATATATATATATATATATATATTCTAAGGCAGACTTTGTCCTCAATAGATGAAGCGGAGAGTTTGTACTGTTTTAGTACATAACAGTTCTAATTTTTAGACTGTTTTTTATTGATAACCTATTTTATTTCTCTTAACCATTTTCCCATTTAGCACATCAGCTTGTAATAAACATCTTTCTGTATGCCAACATCTATCCCGTTTATATCTTGGTGCGATTCTCCTTGTGACCGGTCGTCTGTGCAAAAGTCTTAGGCACGTTAGTATTTTCATTAAATAAAAATGGTTTTAAGAAAGTTACTTTGCTGTAGTGTGCCAGTAGGAAATATCAGTTTAATTTTGCAAACATTTATTGTGCAATTAATTATAATCAGTAAATTTTTTGAATGGACAAGGAGTTTTACAGCTTCCTGTATGATCCACATGGATATCACCATCAGTCCATCTTGGATTACATGGAAAAAAACTGACTCTAAATCCAGAAGAACAGCGGCAACGTCTCCAAGACACTTAAAGAAATCCTGACTTTACAGTATTTTTACACAAGCACCTAAAACTTCTCACAATCCTGTCGCTTTGCAGGTAGATTTCTTCACGTGTCTTGGTGACATTGCCTCAGTTCTTCTGGATTTAGTCTGTATTGTTTTTTTTTTTCAGTTTCTTCATGTAATCCCAGATGGACTCTGTGATGGTGAGATCAGATCTCCGTGTGGATCATAGCGGCTGTTGTCAGACTCATTCTGCATACAAAAATATCACTGGATTATTACACGTAATGGTAATAGGAATGTTTGTAAATGTAAGCTGATATTTCTGACTGACACACTACAGTAAAAGATCTAAACAACTGGATGTTAGCCTGTTGCTAGGTAGTTGCTGTGGTGGTTCTTTACTGGCCTAAGTTAAAAGAGCCCATCGCTTTGATATTCTGGTCTCTGGCTCAAATCTATGGGATTTTTGGCTATTTTTTGTCTCTCAGCGGGGAAAATCAGTCTGAACTCTCAGAAAAGTTAGACGTGCTACGTGCTGAAGTTTAATATTTAGGGTTGGTTAGGTTTTTTTTTCAAGAGCAATTTATAATAGCCATCTCCTAGCACCACTAACTATGAATAGATAATGCACACATAGACACGAAAACGAACACGCATGAATACACACACCTGCACTGAGTTAATTTACAGAACTCCAAAGCAGCTCTCGTAGCCCCCGGGTAATAATATGTTTCCATTACCACACGGCCTATCAAAATGCTTCATTAAAAACAGAAAACATGGCTCAAATATAAGTCTCTAAATAAAGCTGTCCTGACTCTCATTTCTGCTCCACATACACAACTCATCACCATGCACTGCCTGTCATGCCCTTGCTTTCAGAGAGTAAGCTTATAAATATGGACACGACCACAGCCAACCAACTCATCAAATAATGATTAATGGGTCATCCTGCATCTATAAACACAAGCATATTTACTGAAATGTTTGGTAGCGCGTGGAGGTGAACGGAATTATTGTGTTGGCGTTCGGATGACAGTGAGTGATGATCTTATTATAAATGAGCCTCCCATGAGAGAATCATGAACTCTTTTGAAACTCTCGAGACTGTTGATTACAGAGTTGACTGGCTCAGAAGGGGCCGAGAGACAGATGAGAAGCTGGAGGAAACAGTCTGGCACGTTGGTTTTCACAGTGTAGTTAACGCGGATCTCAGTGTAGAAGTGTAGAAGTATTTCTCACCATGGCATGTGACCGTGGTCTGTGTCATGTTCGAGTGCGATGCCTTAATTATCGCCTAACGCTTCTCTCATCCATAGCTCTCTTTCACTTCTGCCATCTTTTTCTTTTTTGCGTAGCTGGTGGCCAGAATGGTGCTTTCTTTCCTTCTTTCTCAAGGCAAAGGCTTTCTCAAGATTATCATATACTGCAGTTGACAGGACAGTTCACACAAAAATGAAAATGATGTCATCATTTACTCACCCTCATTTCTTTCTTCAGCGGAACGCAAACCAAGATATTTTGAAAGTCAATGAGATACTAAACAACACTGGACCTTAAGAGACTTTAAATGTATCTTCTTTTGTGTTCCTCAGAAGAAAGGTGATTGTTGGAATCCAGAAGCCAGCACTACTGGATAAATGTCACCCTGCATCCCAGTGTGCACACTATCCATCCTAAATAGTGTGTAAGATAAGATTAAGTTTGTCCCATGTTTGAAAAGAGTATGCCAAAAGTCCCCGGATGGTCTCGGTAGATTTTCGAAGTGTGGATCCATGCACATTGTAACAGTTGATATTACACAGCCCATCTTGCTTTGGAAGATTTGGTTAAAAACTATACAAACACAAATAAAAAGTGTAAAAAAAAACAAAAAACTACAACATGGCAGATATACAGTATGCAACTGACAGTTAGGCTCTGTTTGATCCGTTTGACCATTAACTTTTAAATCCATCTTTTTGTATTAATATGAGATGGACACCCACCGTGTGCGCTTGTCAACAACAGTGTGACACAAAAAAACCTCAGAAGAAAGCCGTCATGTTTAAAACTGTGACATTGTGCACTTATCGGGATCAACTAACTATAGTAACAACTTCGAGAAACAACTTTGATGAGGTACAGTGATGACTGTTTAGGTCTCCATACAAGGCCTAATAGATCAGAAGAAAAAAAATAGGGGGAATGGGTTAGGACACAATGTCTTATTTCAAAAACTCTGCATCTGTGGAGGACATGAGTCAACCACTAGGCCACTGCTCTGACAGATCTCTGTTTTAGGGCAGAAACAAAAAATTGTGTTTGTCAAATATTTTACTGCATGAAGTGGTCAATAAAACAAATCTCTCTCTTAAAGGTTGATTTAGAAGTGTTGGACCCACGGGGTCGGACACCTTTGCACCTGGCCGTGACACTGGGTCATTTAGACTGCGCCCGTCTGTTAGTCCAGCATGGAGCTGATGTCAGCAAAGAAAACAGAAATCGCTGGACAGGTAATACAGCCACTTTCTGGCCAATATTATAAGCTGATAATTATTTACTCTACCGTTCAAAATTTTGGGGTCGGTAAGATTTTTTTGCTTGTTGAAAGAAATTAATTATTATTTTTTTAAAATTATGCTTTGACTGTAAAGACATTTCAAATTACATGCTATAGCCTGGGAAAACCCAGACAACTTCTGGCAAATTTGGAAAGTTTTAGCAAATTTAGCAAATTATTTGCTCTGAAAGTTAGTCTGGCAAAGAGCTCATTCAAGCCTATTTCCAATCTATGTTTCCAATCCGTCGAAATCGCGGCACCAATCAGAAACGTTGGGACGGGCTTTACACGATGACGACAGCGCTGGGATTTTGAAGCAGATTTTGTAGCCTTCGCCGCCGTCAAACATCACTCGTTCGAATCAGCTATCGCATCTGTTTTTAAGCGATTTGAACGTTTCCTTTTTGTTAAAAACCGTGCAAAGAACAACACTCGGAGATGTTTCTCCGCCGGCCGCCGCTCTGCATACGTCATCTCCTCCATCGCTCTGATTGGTATCCACAAGTTTCCTACGCCCCATGATGCCTTGCATCAAAAGTGGGCGCGACTTCTGGTTGGAAGTAAACAAAGCGCGATTTGACATGCTTGACACTCGTTCATTCAACAGTTGACAGTCATTCAAGTTATAGCGATCCAAACTAGCTAACGATGTGGGAACACAACCTCAACGAAATTCAAAAGGGTGAAATAACAGTGCCTTTACCCTCCGCAGTACTTGATTGGGAGTATTATAATAACATTATTAATAATCAATACTCATCAAGGCATGTTGACGGACAGTTGTGCGAGCTGACAAACAATTAAAATAAAAAATACACACTTAGTCATTGTGCTTTGGAGTTTATTCAAAATTATAAATGAATTTGCTACTTAAATACATTACTGGCACATTTGGTATTCTGTCAACACAGGCTTTGATCCTGAGTTTAGGTGTACCATCAGTAGAGAACAGCCAATCACATGCCGAGAGAGTTTATAGAATATTAATAATTTAAACAAATGTACACTGATTTCGTTTTCAGCTTATGTTCAAAACAATCACGTTTAAGCCACTGAATTAGTTTAGTCCGGTTATACATTCAACCGCAAACAGCACATGTTGTCCCTGAGCTCCGTAACGACATCTCTCACAAAGATTTGCGTCTTTAAACGGTAAAATAATTCTCAGAAAAACAGCTAGCCTCTTCGCTAACTACCACACAAAATACCATTGGAATGCTACTTCCGCCGCCTCACCGGAAGTTTCACCCACTTTATATTTTACAGGAGCTCCCCTCAGAAACTTGTGGATTAGGTCTACCCGCGACGTCCGCTGGTGACGCCCCTCTGGAAATGATTTGTGACGCTTTGCCAGACCATAATAACTCAGTTACAACTGAGAATGGTCTGGTTTTAAACAGGCTAGTTACATGCTGCTCTTTCGATTCATCAAATAATCCTGACATTTCTCTTTTATCAGTTTAAACAAAAATACTAAGCAGCACAACAGTTTTTAACATTGATAATAATATGAAATCAGCATTTGAGTAACGAGGCTAAAAATTCATGAATATTTTAACTGACAATAAATCAAATAATTGCAGCCTTGGTGCGCATAAGAGCTTTTTTGAAAGCATTAATAAAGTCATACCAAGCTCAAACATTTGAAAGTTAGTAATGGCCGATCACTGGTTTCTGGAAGATATTGAAGTTCTATTATTTTAATAATAATACATTTTATTTATATTACACTTTTCTCGAAACCCACAGCGCTATAACCCAGAGTGATAATAAGAATAAAAAGAAAGTCATTGTGTTAAAATAAATTCTTAATAAAACTCTAAAATTTAGGCATCTGAACAATATCATGTACAGAATAAAAATTATATAAACATCATTAATGTTTATAAATGTGTATTAGTGTTTTAAAGATTAACATTAAGTGAGCATTCAATGATGGCAAAGCTACTGAATAAATAAAGTAAATAGCATAAATATATCATGCATGACGCATCCCTAATTTGGTGTCTCTTGAAACTTTACCTACTGTCTGTCAGTGTTGCAGGAGGCCATTAGCACACGTAACCCGGAGCTGGTGCGGCTGGTGCTGCGTTACCGTGACTTTCAGCGCACCACTAAGAGACTGGCAGGGATTCCGCGACTGCTGGAGAGACTCCGACAGGTAAATAAACCCTCAACCTGTTAATGACAAAACAACAAGGTATGAGCTTAACAAACAGCATCGTAACAACCACCTGCTGCCTGCACACCTGAGCCCTCATTCCAGTAGATTCTTCCATACACACAAACAAGTTTATAGGGAACCACCGGGTTTGTTTGCAAAGGCCTCTCTTTTCTTTGTCCCTACGAGTTTTTTCTTTCAACCTTGGGCGCCCCGTAGCCTTCTTTCTTTTGTTTATGATGGATGGATGTGCGAGCTTCTGGTTCTCCCCGCTCCTCATCTCTCCGGGAGTTTTATTATTCATGTCTTTCCCTGCAGAGCGATCCGTCTCTCACTTTCGGCCTCCCACTGTATGCACTAACCTTATCTCTCCCTCTTGTATTTCAGGCACAGGATTTTTACGTGGAGATGAAATGGGAGTTTACAAGCTGGGGTAGGTCATTCGTGCTGTAATCATGTGTAAATGGTATGTTTGGACAGGCTCTTCCTCTTTCCACATCCTCATGTCCTGCTATTGTTGAACTCTCCTCTCCTACTATTTCCAGTTCCGCTCGTGTCTCGTATCTGTCCGAGTGACACATATCGGGTATGGAAGAGTGGCCAGTGCCTGCGGGTGGACACAACACTCATGGGATTTGATCAAATGACCTGGCAAAGAGGCAATCGCAGCTTTATATTCAGGGGTCAAGGTGAGTGTGATGGCTTTTTTTCCTGCACTGATTTTGTTGCCTTCAAATCCGATTTTGGGTTTGATCTGAGCTTTTGTTCTCTCTGCCACTTCTCGCTTAGCTTTCTTTCAAACGAGCCATCATTGGCATGGAAACAACCTCATTCTCACTTCGCCACAGTCTCTAATTGGCTCTCTCTCCACCTGTCATTCAGACTCCAGCGCCATGGTAATGGAAGTGGATCATGACAGACAGCTGGTGTTTTGCGAGAAGCTGCCGTGCCCAACTTCCTCTCCAGCCTCCCCCTCCCCCAGGTCGTGCACAACCGCTTTGAACCTTCTGGGGGCGCTGCAGCCCAGCGATGAACAGGTGGCGGCCCGTCTATCCGCTCCCGTGGTGGCCACGCAGCTTGACACCAGGAACATCTCATTTGAGAGGTGAGCACATAACATAACAATTGCCAAGTCATTGTCAGCAATTAAAATTTTAGACAGGAAGGGCATCGTAACCTGTTATTTTGGCTTTACTGTAAAGCTGAGAGTGTGAGCCAGCACTTTTGGGATAAGCTTCATCATAAAATGTGTGATATTGGACTCACCTCTGCCTGCATGGCACGTCGGCCACCTGGTAACGTGCCCGGATGTCTCTGCAGGAATAAAACAGGCATTCTTGGCTGGCGGAGTGAGAAAACAGAGGTGGTGAACGGGTATGAATCAAAGGTATGGCTTATATCACAGTAAATCTCAATCAAATCGTTTTGCTGATAATATAAAAGAAAATGCAAAACAGATGAATTTTCAATAGTTTTCATTATATCGTTGAAAAATGAAAAATAACATATAATAAAAGTTGGATGTAATATAGACCACTTTACCTGCATACATACTTTTTATGCTGTTATAGTAAATCTCAACTGCCATATTTTTTAATTTGTTGCAAAATGTAACCATATTAATGCTCAGGTCTTTATATACAGTTGGATATACTATATATACACATACAATCATACTATATACTTTTTTTAGTGGTTGTGAAGTAATTACTTATTCAAAATAAGTACCTACTCAAGAGAGTATGCAATTTCAGAAACAGCCAGGGCTTAAATAGGCAAACTAACTAATCAACAAAACAAGCCACATCACCACAGTATTCAGAAACACATCCTGATGTCCTGATGTATGACAATGGTAATTAAACACCTTAGCTGATAAGCCTTTTTCAAGTTTAATATCTTTATTTATCTTGACAGTTATATCCTTGTGTAATTAGAAGGCTGTTAAATTGTGAGCTAATTAGCCGGCAAATTGACATATCCAACTAGGGTGAAGGCTTAGCTCGTGAATAGTAATTAAGGTACTTGACTGGACACTCCTGGAAGGTTACCAAGCAACGTCTCTATGACCCAATTAATATTCATGCACTTTTCCCTTGATTCACATAGTGTTTCATGGTTGCAAAATTTAGCCCGCTTTCATCCATTGACCCGATTGGAAAGGAACCAATTATTGCTATGAAACAACATTCGGTTACACCCAGTACACTGGAAGAGAGTGCAGAGATGCGACATAACGTAACTAGATTGAGTCGTGTAGATTGAGCATTAGATACATTATGAGCTCTTTATTTCCACAATGAAAATTCTAAATATTCCTCAAAGTTATCCATATTTTGAAATGTCAAGTCCTTGAACAGCATTCTCTCATAGGATAAGCGAGTGTTTTATTTTTGTCATGAATATAATGTGGCAGATTAACAAACAAATCATCAACTAATATTTTCATATGTCTTTGATTCAGGTTTACTGTGCCTCTAATGTTGAGCTAATCACACGAACACGTACTGACCATCTCACTGACCAGCACAAAACAAAACCCAAAGGTAAGTTTGACCAATTTGTTTCTCAAATCACAATCTTTACATGCCCACATTGACATTTATCTATATTTTCAGAAATCTAAATCACACATTTGAAATTATTTTCTTAAATCAATACAATAACTGTTTAAAGTTTAGGGTATGATTTTTTTTAAACAAGTTGACACTTTTATTCAGCAAGGATACATTAATTTGATCAAAAGTAACAGCAAAGACTTTGTTACAAAATATTTCTATTTAAAAAAAGAATGCTCTTTTGAAATTTCTGTTCATCAAAGAATCCTAACCCTTTAAGAACCCTTTTCAGCAGGGACAACAGGAATTAATTTTTATTAAAATAGAGAACAATTAAATTGTAATAATATTTCACATTAATACTATTTTTACTTTATTTTTGATCAAATAAATGCCGCCTTGGTGAGCATAAGGATAACATTTAAGGACAAAAATACAGATTAAGAAATTTAAGCGCATATGTTATTTTCTCAACAAAACACAATGAGCGTGTGCAATGGTTGGCATGCCATAGTGAATATGATGATTCATTATTTCAATGCCCACTCAGATTTTTTTCCAAACAAACAATGTCTTTGTCTCATCTACTGTTACAGCGATGCAATACAGATCATTGGTATTGTGCACATCTTCTGTAATATGACCTGCTGTGTGTTGCGTTTTTGTCTCAGGAGGCAAGACACCTCTGCAATCCTTCCTGGGTATCGCTGAACAGCACATGGGGCCTAACAACGGAGTGAGTGAGAGGAGCCTGTCAAGAATCTGTTCATTTATCAAGACATCTAAAGTGGCTTTCTAGGACTATGTCACTTTTGTTGCCTCAAAGTAAAGTGTGTGCATGTTTGTTTGTGTGTGTGTGTGTGTGTGTGTGTGTGTGTGTGTGTGTGTTTTACAGCACACAATGGTGACTCAGATATCATGCCCCTCAACAAACCCATTGGCCTTGACAGCTGAGGAGTACTTTAATCCCAATATGAGTCAGAGAGACATCGGACAGCCTTGTAACCTCACCACAAAAACACAAAGGTAGTGTCTCAACCCTTTCATTTTCATTTTGAAACAAATAACTAGATTCTCTGAAGAAAATGTGGTCCTTTCCCAGTCCCATTCCATTCTCTCCTCTCCAACTGTTTCCCATCTCTCCTCAAAGAGTGCTATCAAAATAAATGCAAAAAATCGAACTTTTATATAAATATGGAAGGTTTCTTTAACTCCAAACCTTACTTTAAGTATGAACAACGATAAACCCAAATAACTACATCTGAATTGAAAATGACAACTGTCAACTGTGTTGTCGCCTCGGGTCGGCGTCTGGGCCAGAAATCTGAGCTTGAACTCTAAAGACTACAGGCGACCGCCAACTAGCTTGTGCGTTCAGCGTTTGCATGTTAGGAATTACCTGTCAATATCAGTAGATATGAATGGTATATTCTTCATTCACAAAGGGAAACCGATACCAGGACTGCAGATAAACAAACTGTAAACAAAGCAGTGTACGCTTACCATGTTGATCACTTTCTTCATTCCAGGTGGCTGATTTTGATATGAAAGGCTCGGGATGACGTAAAACTTTGCTCGCTTTCATCACTTTCGTTTTTATTTGTAATGCAATGACTCGTTGGCTAAACTGAACAATCAGAGCGACATCTCTCACCGACGGCCCAGGGGCCGATTCAACATGGTGAATCAGGCAAACTGCCTGCAACGTTAGCCTGACTTTAATTGACGTGTGGAACACACCTCAAAACTAGCCCGACAGATACTCATCGATGGCCAACATCTGACCGTCAGCTTGCTGTCACGACCCTTACGTGAATGTTTTTTTCCCAGGTTCAAAGCCAAGCTGTGGTTGTGTGAATCTCACCCTTTATCTCTGGAGGAGCAGGTGGCTCCTATCATCGACCTCATGGCCATCTCCAACACTCTGTTCGCCAAGCTTAGGGACTTCATCACCTTACGTCTGCCCCCTGGCTTCCCCATCAAAATAGGTGAGAGAAAGGGAAAAAAAATGGAAAGAGCATGCTATATGCCTAAAAATGTGTTTTCAAAGTATGCTTCCAAACAAACAAACATTTAAGTTATTAGGGTAATGGAACAATGACATCTCTTCACAACAGAAATTCCAATCTACCACATCCTAAATGCTCGGATCACCTTTGGGAACCTGAATGGTTGTGAAGAGGGTGGTTTGCCCCGGGTGGACACTGAAGGGGACGGACAAAAGGACAGTCCCAGGACAGAGGCACCATCTCCAGGCAGCGACTCTTCCAGCGTGTCCAGCTCTAGCTCCACAAGTACGAATCAACCTTTTACCCTGAAGAAAATGTGTTTGTTAGAAGCTATTTAAGATGATGATCAGATTGAGAAATATGGTGTCACAAAATAAAACCGTGTTCAGACAAAGCATTTGCCATTTATAATGGCCAGAGACATAAATATTGAATTGATACGTGTTTAATGATTGCATTCCTTTTAGTTCTGCCTGTAGTATTGATGTAACTCAGATCTGCTGGTTAATGCATTTAACTACAAAATTCTGCACCGGTCTTCATAAATTTGTGTTTGTTCATACAATTAGACTCATGTCGTGGAGGAGAGATCCCACCTTGTGTTTTCGAGGCTCCGCGGGGCTACAGCATTTTAGGAGGAAACCAGAGGAAAACATTAGAGAAGAAGAGGATGATCTGCTACATTATGCCATCCAGCAGAGCCTGATTGAGGCTGGATCAGAATATGACCAGGTCTGTTAACAGATGCACATAGCTGTCCGCAACATAGAGAAATACACCCTTTTACACCATGTCCTAACCAACCATGAAACAACATGGCTTCAAATCATTTTTCTGTGCTTACTAGATCCAAAATACTGCAGTCTTCTGAGAATATTTGATGTTTAAAGGTCCCCTGACATGGGCTTATTTTATAATGTTTCCTGGGTTGCCCATATGATTTCCATTACACGAGAGTAGATGTTAAAACTTCACGCTGATTTGTACTTGGCTTTCGACAAGATAAGCACAAACTAAGACGTATCTTTACAGTAAACTATGCTATACCCATTTACACTTCCTTCCATATGGTGATGTGAATCTCCTTCTGTACTTGGCGGGTCAGCACGCACGACGGCTGCAACTACAGTGTGGTCTCCCCAGTGGACCAGCACGACAACCGTCTGGATTGACCCGAGTAGGGGACATCTCTAGGGTCTTCAAGTGAGCACCTTCTGTCCTCAGTGTTTCGTCGACTAGCCCATGACACCTCAAGAGGGCTCGACAGTGACTCTGGCATCCCAGAGTCACCCCCCTCCGTCCCCCACTCAACTCAGCCCAGCTTACTGACCTTTACATCCCCCCTGCTGCTGAGGTTGCTCCTTCCTCGTACAGTAGTTCACATGTGCCCTAACCAAAATTTTGGAGGAATATTGTCTTCTGTTTTGCTAGAACAGGCGGCAACTTATTGGTCATGCTATGCTTGCCTTCCAATGCTAAAGCAAAACATCGCTCTTGGTCATGGCGCCAAGTAAACTGAACTTGGCTAAGAGCCACCTTACTTCCTGTCAAAATGTGCCTTAATGTGTCAGGTGATGAACACAAAAGACAAGAGGGATCCTCCCCGAGCCAGAGGTTTAGGTTCTGCGGTGATGGGAGAACATCATATGTTGACCTGATAAGGAAACTGATCCTACTCTCTTCCATTGACCAAAGGTCTTGCCAGCCCATCTTGCTCATCTCATCCACTCTCCCTGCTTGGCCTGGGAAATGGCCTTTATACACCTCATCCTCTCCTCCTGCTTTCGCACCTCGTTGACCACCAGCTGGGCCTGCCTTGTGCCATTTAGGAGGAGCTAAACTGAGCCCAAAACCCCCTGTTCCATACTGTACCTATCCCATGATATCTCCAATTTGAAGGGGAGCCTTTGCCTCTACCACAGATTTCTTTGCTGACCACTTTCTCCCTTTCACAACTGTTGTGTGACTCTACTAAGGTCATTTGCAGTCTGACCTTGGTGCACTTAAACTCCTCGGTTAAAGCAGAAATGGCAGCTGCAATATTCCTTTACTATAAAGTCCCACTTTGCTGAGGCAGCGTGGAACTCCCAACCATTTACTGATGTATGAACTTATTAACGCTTCCAGCTTATCCACGTTTGTCAAAGAAACCTCACACACAGTCAGTGGCCACAGCAACCTCGGCAGTAGACCAAACTGAAAGCACCAGCGTTTTAGTTTGCTTGGTAGAGCACAGATGTTTATGTTCTTCAACCCTTCCACTGCTTGTCTTCTTACTTCTCCCACTCGAACTGTGTCCTTTAGATCCCCATCGTACCACCTCCCAAGACTCTTCACTGGCTTCTTAGAAACTGTTGGTATTCCCTCACCATTACTAAAGAATGTATTATCTACTACCTTTCCTTTAACTATCGAGATGCTCCTTGATTAAGATGGCTTAAATTGCAATCATGCCCACTCAATATTATCTTTTAACTTACCCAATAACTGATTAGTGCAGGCTACTGTTGTAGTCATGGTTGTCATGTCATCCATGTATGCTCTGATTGGTGGTAATCGCATTCCAGAAGCCAAGCGCTCTCCTCCTACCCATCTTGATGCCCTAATGATTACTTCCATAGCCATGGTAAAAGCCAGTAGAGAAATGGTGAATTCTGCCATTATTCCAACCTCTAAGCACTGCCATGTAGAGCTGAATTCTGGAGTTGAGAAACTAGATTGCAAATCTCCAAAATAGGCTTTCACTAAATTTGTTATTGACTTTTGTACATTTGTAAACATGTTTGGACCTTACAGAACTTTGGGAAGTTGTGTCGGCGCATTTCCAGAGAAAATAAAATGAACCCATTGTTTCTTCAGAGGCTCGGATGAAGGAACTAAAAAATACCTTTGTGTTCATTTGTACATCCGAACACTGATCAACTGCCTTGCTTCGCTCGTTTGCAAGCCATGACATCTCTTGAGGAAAAACTCAAATCGCAAATTGCGTTCGTACTTCCTAGCTCATTTTCTCATGGGCGAGCCAAATTCTTTGGGCAGGCAAAGCAGAGCAATGGAAGGTAACCTTCTCTGTATGACGGCAAATGGAGGAGATTCAAGATCAGCATGTCTGAGCTTTCGTTTTCTCAAAGGCAGAGAAAAATTGCCAAAGTTCGGTTTCCATCGATTGAAATTTCTAGCCAATGGGGGACGATATACAGGCTAGGGGAACTCTGTGTTCATTTTGGATATCTGTTGGTGTGTTTGTAGGTGTGGGTCTGTGTGTGTTAGCGCTTGTTTGTTGCCAGGTAACCAGCTGATCACTGAAGTCTTCAGCTGCAGCTAATCTCTACTGCTTGTTAGCTGCCTTAATCTAGCTGGAGTGTTTGAAGCTTGGTGTCATTTCGTCACTCTTGTTTGGGTTCTCTTACCTAGTTCCTGTCTCCAAGTTTCTAGTGGCGTTATTTCCTCAGTCTCTTCCGTGCATGCAGACTTCTGGGAGATCGTCTGCAGTTATCTTTCACCAGTCTGAGTCCTTGCAGCGTTGTCTCCGTCTACTGGCTCTCTTTCGAGATTGTCGCTTTCCGGTCGCCGACCTGCATAAGTGGCGTTTAGAGATTTGTCCTGTGCTACCTGTCATTAAGAAACTTAACAAGTTTATATGCATTTTGATCTTGGGACCTGTTATTGTAACAAACTCATATTGTTAAAAAACCTCAGAAAGTGAAAATTTAATAAGGGGACCTGATTTAATCAGGGGAATTTAATATCCAGCTATGTAGAGCTAGATTTTGTTGAGTATGCAAAGCCCTTATAATGCAAATGAGTTCACCAAAAATGTATACATTTAGCAACTCAAGTTGCATGAAAAATCCTAGAGTGAAAGTGATTGGCTTCTTTAAATGAAAGTCTTTTCATTGTTATAAAGTGCAGCAGGGATAACAGCGTTTTTGTAGGCCAACCCAGGAAGTTAACATCACCCTGGTTACCTTGGGAAAAAAGAGAGAGATTGCTACTTTAATGTGTCTTGTTGTCTGATTAGACTCTGTAAACCCTTTTACACTGTTTCACTCACAGGTGACGATCTGGGAGGCTTTGACCAACAGTAAGCCGGGAACACACACTCTGCCCTGCGACCCCAGCCGACATGAAAGGTCTGCAGTCAGTATTCTTCTTCTACTGTCTCCTGTAGTTACATCTCACACACAATAGGGACAGCATTACACTCTCATCACATTTACTGGAGCTATTGACACAGGCATGACTGTCAATACAGCCTCAGTGAAGCTCATAGAAATTCACTTGTGGTTTTCATCTCTCTCTCCTCACCTCCACTTGCTCCTCGCAGAGTTTTAAAGCAGATTGAGATGCCGACATGAATCCAGAACAGTCACTTCACACTATCAGGGTTAGTTAAAAAGTTAAAGACATCTATAATGTTACAAAACATTTTTATTTCAAGTAAATGCTGTTCAAGTAAATCCAAAAATCCTGGGAAGAAAATACGATTTCCACAAAGTTTTAAGCAGCACAACTGTTTTCCACATTGATGATAATAATAAATGATGTGAATAATAAATAATTGCGTATTAGATTGATTTCTGAAAAACTGGAGGAATGGCTCCTAAAAATTCAGCATTTAAAAATAATAGAAAACAGATATTTTAAGTTGTACTGATATTCAATTAATATTACTGTTTTTTAAGCAGAAGGCACTTTTAAAAACATAAAAATTCAAGCTACAGGGGCAAAAAAGCGCTAGACAGATGGCGCATATATTAATACACAAGTGTATTTCATCACACTTAAAGTGCTGATTTTAGTGCTTAAAAAAACAAAAACAATCTTCCGTTAGCAGAAATCTCAGTCACTTCTTTTCTTCCCCATTACCCAGAACCCCACAGCACAAACCCAACACCGTGGAGAGCCCCCGCAGCACACCAAACAATAAGCCACCGCGCAGCTACGATGAGCAGCTGCGTATAGCCATGGCGCTGTCCGCCCGCGAGCAGGAAGAGGCGGAGCTACGTCAAAGACGAGAGGAAGAGGAACTGCAGCGTATCATACAGCTGTCACTCATGGAAAAGTGACCGGGCCATTGGGAAGCGAGGGGTGGCAGAGCATGCCTGGGGATCTGTAACCAACCAGCGTGAACTATGATTGGCCACTCCCAAACGCCCCACCCTCTTCTTCCAAAGAACTGGAACTCTCCAAGGAGTCATTCACAATCACAGAGAACCCTGTCTTCACTCTGCAAGTTTACAAACACAAACTACTAAACTCATGGCAATCCACTGACTGATCTGCACCAGTCTGGTCTCCTAACGTGTGAATGTGCGATTTTGACCGAGACAGTCCGCGCTGTGTATCCTACTGTTGTTTCTAAAAGCTATCATCCAAACACTCACACAGAGTTCCTGGATACTCACCGGTAGGTGTGAATTCTGGGGGAAATTGTCACTTTTCAATTTCATATTATGGATTTAAAGAACTTAAGTTTTGGTTGTTAATACACACAATTCACTGTACTTGGATTAAGGGGTCACGATGTCTCCTAATCGAATGTGGGAGGGCACTTACAAGAGTTAATGCAGCAAATCCACCTCAATTTGATGGGAATGCTGCATTCACAAGGACGTATGAAGAAAAACGCAAATGTTTGCGAAAGTGACACTTATACTTTTGCTGCATATCCTCCAATGTCGGTACGTTAACCTGCTGAACTTTGAGAATCTCAGACAGGTCCAGCTATGAATTCGGAAATCTAATTTGATGTATTCCCATTTGATTTCAAACTAAAGACCTGTTCACACCAGCATCAATGTTCGGCACAAATTCACTGTAGGTGGAAAAGCAGAAACACCTCAGCACAGAACAGAACTTTTCTGACATCTGCTTGTTACAGAGAACAAATGAAGTCAAACCGTAACAGTATGTTTTCAGAGACTTTTGGTTTCAAAGAGACGGTTGGACATTTTGGATGAGATTTTGGTATTTTGTGTAGTGTATCAAACACCTCTTAGTGCAAGTGTAGAGAGAAAAGAGCTGGTTTAGGATTCTTGTGCTATTTACTCTCACATACTGTTTGCGAAGGCCACTAAATCATAGTTTTATGTAACAGCAGCAGCTCTGGGCACATGACCAAAAGCTTGAATCTTGGTTGGCTTCGCAGTGCAATGGAAAAGAGGTTAGAAAATCTTTTATATTTGTGGCTTGAAAATGTTATTTTTGTTCATTCAAATTAAAATTTTCACACACATTGGTCTTGGTGTGAACAGGCCTTCATCCAGTTCTTTCCACACCCTCAAAATGAATCTTGTGCAATCATTCGCCATACTTTTTGTAGTGTGCAAGCGCAAACCCTGCGTTATGATGACAGCAGGTTGAAAACCACCCTTTGCGCACTATTAATGGCATGATTTTGAATCATTGGCCAGATTGATAATCCGAACCTAAAAGATCATTTATTGTAATGGCACAACTGAGAGTGAATGGAAGAAACAAGCCATTTTCAGGTAAATGTCAATAATGACTAAATGATTCCTTTGAATCTGAATCAAATGCTCATTACAATATTCATCATGTGTCCTAAATGAACGTTTCAGAAAAAAAAGACATTATTTTTTCATTGTTCTACTTCAAATGGTGCTAAGTTGATCTTTCATATCAACTCTTGGGTACTTTAATCAGTGTGATTGTCACGACATGCATTCATCCATCTGTTCAATCACTCGACAACACTGTTTCTTTACCGGCCTCCATTCAGTGCTTCCTTCAACATTCCCATCAGAGCTCATTGTCTCATGACTGGAACACCTGCGGTAGCTAATCAGAAATCTAATTGTGCTTTTATAAGGGGCGCCAGTTCTAGAATAAAACATGAAAGGAGGAATCACTCACAGAGATAATGCCCTGAGCACAGACAAAGGGGAAAGTTTTATTGGAGAATCTTAAAATAGATCTGTCTCCTTAGTCAGATTTATTCTGGGGCTGACTGACGTGCCCTCAGGGTTTGATGTATCAGGTGAATATGAAAAACAAATTAGGAAACATGGCCATACTCCACTTCTGAAAAGCTTCAATGTAAAAACACAAGGCATTAACCATCAGTTTTCAAAGGAAGCGGATCTGATGGCGCTGTCTAGAGACGGAGCTAATAAACACGTAGGATTGATCTTATGATTGTGTGACTTGTGAATGCCTGGGCAGAAATGCTTGATATGACTCAATGTTTTAGTATAACAAATAATAGCATTATTTATATTTAACATTTTTTTCATTTGAATTTGGTTGAGCTGTGGTTTGTGTGGAGTGCTGCTGTTGTGTCTGTATGTGACTGAAATATATTGTTCACATTTGTAACTTAAATGCATTCCAAATAAAGGGTAATGACATCTAAATTAACTTTCAAGCTTTGGGAATTAATGCGTCAGTGAATATTGAAGTTTGTGGTTCTAAAAGCAAAGGTCTTATGCTTGATCATATACTGCAGAAAAATATGCATGTAGGCCTACATGTACCATGGTATTTTTTGAAAGTACCTTGGACCTCCGTGGCATTAAAGGATTAGTTCACTTTAACAAAAAAGAAAAATGCTGATAATTTACTCACGCCCATGTCATCCATGATGTCCACGTCTTTCTTTCTTCAGTTGAAAAGAAATTAAGGTTTTTGATGAAAACATTCCAGGATTTTTCTCCATATAATGGACTTCATTGGACCCCAACCGTTTCAAGGTCTAAATGACAGTTTCAGTGCAGCTTCAACAGGCTTTTTAACCAGACAATGAATAAGGCTCTTATCTAGCGAAATGACGGTCATTTAAAAAATAAATAAATGAAGTTTTATTAACTAAGTTCGGGAGGAGCTCGTTCAGATAATTAACACGAGTGGACAGCAATCAGCAATCAATGATAAGAGGGTATATATAGACTCAGCAGTCTTACCTCGATCCATTGACAGTTTGCTGCATCCCTCCTCCACACTCCTAGTTCTCCACACTCCTCTTTCTAAAAAAAATAACTTACATACGGGGGGAGTACTCTGGGTTCGGGCAGATTTCCGAGCTTGGAGCCCTCCCTCCGGACAGCACGCCAAATACGCGTTGAATCTTACTCACTCAAAATTAAATGCAAGTGTGAACTCGTGAAAAAAGTTTAAGTTTTATAAGCCCAAATGCTCGCCTTGCTCTGTTCTGAGTCCTAATGTAATTGCGTATTACGTGACGTCACAAACGCGCATCACAGAACAGGCCAGCATTTGTGCTTTTAAAATTTAAAGTGGCTATGTAGGATTTACTTCCATACGATTTCCACGACGCATGCGCGAAAACTTAACTGAAGTAGTGTAAGGAGATCGCAATTCTCGCGCATGCGACGTGGAAATCTAAGGAAGTCTCGTTTCAGGCCAACAAGGAAGAAAAGGAAAAGTCGAATAAACTCGTTATTTTTGTTTGTTTTTTCGCACAAAAAGTATTCTTGTCGCTTGGTAAACTTATAGTTGAGCCACTGTAGTCACATGGAATATTTAAACATTTTCTTCATTGACTTTCTGGGCCGTCAAGAGCCAGTCCCGGAAGTCTATGTGGTAGTTTTACAGCTCTCAAATTTAATCAAAAATATCTTCATTTGTGTTCCGAAGATGAACGAAGGTCTTACGGGGTTGGTACAGCATGGGGGTGAGTAATTAATGACTTAATTTTCATTTTTGGGTGAACCAACCCTTTAACGGCGCGCGTGATGAAAACACGACAATGGACACATTCCTGGATTGCTCGAAGAGGACAGTATGGGCTGTCAATCCTCCAAATAAAACTTGAAGTAAAATATTGTTTTCTTATATATTTTTACTTTTAGTTTTAACGTTAGCATCTAACTTAGTCTCGTTTCGCCATTTTTGAAAGTTGTGTACGGTAAAGCTTCTGTGTTCCTATATTGGTCATCCTCATACATGTGACGGAACCGTCGTGGACGACTGTTAAAGGGATACTCCACTTTTTTTGGAAATAGGCTTCGAATTCATTCAGCCGATTTTCTGATATTTAGAAGAATATCAGTAACCAGACAGTTTCTGGTCTCATTGACTTCCATAGTATATATTTTTTCCTACTATTGAAGTCAATAAGACCAGAAACTGTCTGGTTACTGATATTCTTCTAAATATAAGAAAATCGTCTAAATGGATTCGAAAACGGTAAAACTCAACTGTTTAACTCTCGGGGAGTGGTAAAATGAGCCTATTTCCAAAAAAAGTGGAGTATCCCTTTAAAAAAATTAAACATGCTAGTCTTTTGTCGTGAAGCATCGCAGACGCGAAGTAGGTTGTCGCACACTATGACACACTATACGAGATGATACGATTGAATCTTGCGTCCTGACGCCCGTTGTCGTTTACGAATCAAAATCGGGCTAAAATTGTGTAATCTGGACCGGGCATTATATGGAGAAAAATCCTGGAATGTTTTCATCGAAAACCTTCAAATTTCTTTTCGATTGAAGAAAGAAAGAAATTTTGAATTGTCATATTTTTTTATTTTACTTAGCTTTATATATATTGTTTCCAGTACTTAAACGCATTTAAATTAGTGGACCAATGCAACAGGTCTAATTTAAGTTATTTCAGCTTTATTTTAATAACTGAAAAGTAGTTTAGTTTTCAGTGATTAGTGAGCACTGTACATCAAGAGACTGTTAAATGTCAGATAACATATTGATTGTGCTGTGTTCATCATCTAGGCCTGCCTACTTTCCTTCCAAAAATTGCAGGTGAAATTTGATCAACAGCAGGTTAAAATAATTAAAATTTGTTTCATGTCATTCACCAAAGGCTTCAAACACCTTCATTCCCATGATTATTTTGGGATTATCGGGGGAGTGTTTTAATGAATCAGCAGTCTAGAGGAAGCTTTAGCTAAGTGATGAGTCAACCTCAATGAATAATATTAATCAGAGTCAGTCGATGCAGGTAGTATTACGAGAATATTTTAAATAATAGCCACTGATCCCACACAGAGATAAAAATGACTCTGGTGGAACTTCTGTTCTCTAATATGCACCAAGGGTGTGCTCATGTTAACAGAACTTTCTGTAAAATTAATTTAAAATACCTGAGATTGATGCAGGACATCATTACTAGTGTACCTTAACTTTCTTGGTTTTGGTAAATTACAAACAAGGAAATGCTGAATGTTAAAATAATGTTAGTGAACAGGCAACAGTACCAACCACCACAACATACAATGCATTACATCATATTGCAGTACAGCTCTTTACCACACTGTGGCGATGTGGTTCAGACAGCAAATTGCACTGAAAGAGCAGGCTACTACAGTTCTCCATCCCAATTCAGATGATGATAAACAATAAAACAAACTACTATCAATACTATCAATAATAATCATCACCACCTCTAAAATTACAAATGCGGTTTGTAATATGCCAATCCTAAAAAACTCTTATTAAACTGTCTACAGAATCAATGACTTGACAAAAAGAATTAAAATAGTGCAGTTTTATTTTATGAGTCACAGCTAAAGGACAGGATAAAAAAAGTGGATCAAGTTTACCTTAATTTCAAACAGAATCATGACTCCACATGCTGTCAGACATACAGTCAACTCTACCGAACAAGCCAGTGCAAAAATACTCAAATAAAAATGCTATCTAAAAAAAAAATAAAAGAAAACCGTAAAAAAGAAAACAAGAGAGTAAAGTGCATATTTTAAGAAACAACCCTCTTGTTTGAGTTGCAACCTGAAAGATTCTGAACACAAAACTGAAACACACTCACGCTCTCATTCGCACCTACAGTAGCATACATCTTTAGCGTACAAATTTAGCTTAGACCGAATGAAACTTGAAAATTGGTTGCAGTCTGAGATAGTCCTTCACGCTGATAAAAGCAGCACGTGAAAGTTCAGTAATGGTCACATGGTGTTGTACAAAACAGTGACTGTCTTTTTCTTGTCTGACGCTTTGCGGAAACGGCGAATGGGATAAGTCTTTACATGTTGTTGTCGTGTGGACACGGAATTGGTGGGCTGGACAGGGGAGTGTTCAGGGGGACTGGCTTCACCCTCTTGCATTATCTGCAAACATGAGGGTGAGAGGTGGGCGGAGCCTTCAATCCTGTCCGCCTCTATCAAATGGACAGTGGAATCAGGGTTGGGAGGGCTCTGAGGTAGAACACGCTGCTTCTTATGGGCGTCGTCATGGCTGTGGGTCAGTGGCAAGGAGTGAAAGGTGGATAAAGAGGAAGAAGTGGGTTGATGAAACCCTGTGTTAGCCGGATGGATGTCCCAGTCGCTCAAGTCGTTAGTAGACAGCTCTAGCCGGTCAAGTTTAGCAAGTGAGGCAGAGCGTTTCATGAGTGAGGGAGGGGTAAGACCGGCCTGTCTGATGCGGGCCTCGATTTCCATGGCTCTCTGCCACATCGCAGGTGCTTTGGGCTCCAAGCGTTGCTCCCCATCTAATGAGTTCCACTGGCCCTTGAGCGGCTGGTTCTCCTCAACTTGTCCATTGCAGGCCCCCAGTCCTCCAGCCTCATACAAGAATGCCTGGAGCTCTCGGAGAGTCTCCTGGATCTTCTGCAAGTCCTCACTGCTGCGTGCTAGCCGGAATTGGGGCCTCAACAGGTCGTCTACATCCGTCTCCAGCTCGGTCACGCCTTCTAGCCACAACACAGAGGAAGAACCAGAGCTGGGCTCAAGAGTGGGGTTCAAAGTGATCTGGTCAGCCTCCACTGAAACACTCCCCTCAAGATACAGTGAGAAGGAAGGATCAGGGATTATACCAGAGTCCTCATCATCAAGCACTTTGGTGTCGCCTCCTTTTCCGTCTACAGTCTTTTGGGTCTCAGTGCAGCTCGGGGCCACAGTGCCCTCTGGCTTACTGGAGAAAGATTGCAGTTCAGAGCAGTCCAAACATGGGGAAGGAAGAGGAGAGCGAGGAACCTCTTGACCCTGTCGTAGCATAAGCTCCAACTGCTCAGTGGCCCGACGCACAGATCCTGAGGTCCTGTCGGAGGGTGAGTGAGGAGCTGAAGAAATTCGCCCATCCACCTCCTCCAGTGTTGCTGTTTGAGGTGAGTTGCGTGCCAGTGGTGGACCGCAGGTGTGTGATATGGATTCCAGTTCAGTAACTATATGACGCACACACACATTGTTGTCATGGTGAAGGGGTTGGGGTACTGCATTACTATTGGTCTCTGAGTGGGCATGGCACTGAGAAAAGAGAAAATACTTTCAATCAAGAGAGCTCACCACATTAACATAAATGTTCTTTACATTCAATTCATGTTATTGAAGCACCCTCAACTAACTCTTCCATGGCTCACAAAATTGCAATTGTTTTTTTCCCCCAGAATGGGGACTGTAGCCATCAACCTCTAAAAATCATCACAAAAAAAGT